CATAGTAACCTTGCAAATCTTTTTTTATGCTCAAACAGCAACATTACACTAGCCTGGTTAAAACCAGACCATTCTCAGTTGTAACTGAGTTATGGTCTGGCAAAGTGTCACAGACAAATCATTTCCAGAGGGGCATCACCAAGGGACGTCGCGGATAGACCTAAAACCAATCAGAGCGATGAAGGAGATGACGTATGCAGAGCGGCGGAGAATCTCCGAATGTTGTTCTTTGCTCGGTTTTGAACGAAAAGGAAACGTTCAAATCGCTTAAAACAGACGCGATAGCTGATTCGAACGAGTGATGTTCGACGGCGGCATCCATCTTTGTAATGTAGGCTACAAAATCTGCTTCAAAATCCCAGCGCTGTCGTCATCGTGTAAAGCCCGCCCCAACGTTTCTGATTGGTGCCTCGATTTCGACGGATTGGAAATGGGCTTGAATGAGCTCTTTGCCAGACTAACTTTCAGAGCAAATCTAAATTTGCCGGAAGTTGTCTGGGTTTTCCCAGGCTAACATTACACACTAACTAAAGCTGAAAAAGTGAAAAAGCATAATAGGACCCCTTTAAAGTATTACTTTGAGTGAAAGCCAAAGGAACACTAAAAAGAGCTACTTACAAAGTCTTAATAGTATAATACCCTACCTGAAGGTGGGAGGTTTTGGGGGTCTGTTGTAAAACTGAGTTTCAAAATACAATTTAATATTATTATTTTTTTTTACAGATTACGCTTTTTTTAAAGTGTCATTGTTACAGAGTAATAACAAATAAGTACTAAGTAACTATATAGGATTAAGGTTAGATTTTGGTTTAGGCTGGGTAAATTGCGTATAATTATTAGGGCTGTTTTCGACTAAGGATTTTCATAGTCGAATCTGATTCGTTAGATTTTGCCATAGTCGACTGATAGTCGAGCCTTTTTTTTTTTTTTTTTTAGATAGCAGCTAGACGTTCGGTTGAATAACTGTTCGTCTGTTATAGGACAACTCGCTCTACGTTTATTTAAAATGAACAGCAAGACAACTAGAAGTGAATGTGCTTTCCATTAAATGAATCCTTAACACACACAAAAAAAAACGTTGCAATGAACGTGCTTTGTTTTAAATAAATCACACACAGTAAATAAAACCTTAACAACAAAACTTTGCAATGAACTTTGCAATTTAGACGCGCAAACTGCGTGCCGGTGCGGTGAGACGTAGCCTACATGCTCGGGCAGATTCGGCTTGAAGTCGTTCATCCTCGGATGCGGCGTCGCGCGCGCTGTTACAAAAAAAGCTGTGCACACACCCAAGCGAAATGGGGTCTTGCCGGGCTTGCGCACCCAACGCGTCATTTTTTTGCCGTCCGCACCTTCGCGCTCGTGCGGACGCGTCGAGTATAAACAAGGCTTTACTCCGTGTCAGCGCGCGCTCTGATCGGTAAAGGTGCACAGACCTCTCCCGAATCATCTCCAGCAGTAGCAGCCTCCGATCGCACCACTAACGCCGCCTTTCCACTGCACACGACATTCGCATTCGATTGTCGCATTTCGCCCCCTAGTGTCAGTCGCACGGAACTTTGAAATTGGTCGTGAAGCAACCGTTACCCTCGGCCATTCACAACTATTTTTTACAGTCTATGATTCACAATGGTAAAATTAATGATGAATGTAATGAATGCACTGCATGCATGAATATATCCACACAAAACAAATGACCCTCAATACATCTACAATAAAAACAATAGATTTTACAGAGCTAATCAATATAAATATTGATTTAATAATTATAAAATATTTTCTTCTGCCAAAATTATTAATAACCGACATTTTACAGAAATAGCGTTTACAGAATAACATTAAAGAGTTGAAATATTGGTAATTCTAGCCTCACGCTCATAGAATACATCACATCCGGTCGGCCGGTCGCATACGGTCTAGCCGCAGAAGTTCAGATATTTCAACGGATCCAAAGCTCAAATCGGATACGAATTTTCCGCATACGCATATGATCGGAACTCCCCGCAGCTCCCGTGCGACTCTCCATTGGAAATGAATGACTTCCGGTCCAACGGCTGTCGTTTGTCGTGTGCAGTGGAAAGGCGGCTTAACTCCGCCTCCGTTTCCCTCGTAAGATGATATTAGTATTTAAACATTCTCTATGATAAAAAATGTTTGTAAAAAATATTTTAATAGCACGGTTTTGGCGGTTATAGAGTTCTAATGACGGTGTTCACCTATAAGCGTCGGTCTCACGGTTTTATAACGTCACACCCCTCATAACACTTGCCTACTATTCGACTATGAGGTTAGTCGAATCAGACCTCTCCGAATCGAATCGTCGAATCCTCGACTATTAGAAGTCAGCCCTAATAATTATGCACAATTTTCTGTTATTATTATACAAGTAAGTTAACGTATAACAACAACACTGTAAAATAAAGCGTTAGGCTACCATTGTAACTAACTTGTAAAAAATACTCATTACAAATGTTATAGAATAAGAGTAAATACATTGAAAATCGTGCTTGCGCCATCTATTGGGTTGTAAAGGTAATATCCACAAGTTTCCTACGTCCCATGAGGCATTGCGTCAAAAGTGGGCGCGACTTCCGGTTCGAAGTAAACAAGCCGGAGTTGACATTCATTCATTCATTAGTTGACCGTCATTCAAGATTTAGCGATCCAAACTTAATGATGTGGGAAAACAACCTCAACGAAATTAAAAGGGGTGATATAACAGTACCTTTACCATCCGCGGTAGATGGTTGGGAGGATGACGTGAAGAAGTGGCCTCGTATCACGTATGGTAACATTTTTAGCTATTTTGTAGATTCAGTAGCCTGTGATGGTAAGGCGATGAGCAACCTGAAAAGCTCGAAAAATACCTAACCTCTTCGCTATGTAACACAAAATACCGTTGATTTACTACTTCCGTCACCTAACCGGAAGTTTCACCCACGTTCTATTTTACAGTAGCGCCCCCCGGAAACAGGTGGATATTATAAATGTACTCACCCCTTTAGGCCATCCAAGATGTAGGTGTATTTTTTCTTCAGTAGATTTGTAAAGATGTTTTGCTAAACAGTGGTCCTTGGTAATTCATGTTGCAAGTACCGTCACTTTAGGAGTAAAAAAAAAAAACATATACAGGCAAAATAAAATTAAAACATGTGGCTCCTGACGATACATTGAGGTCTTATGTAGCGAACCGATCGGTTTGTTGAAGAAACTGAACATTATTTACAACATTATTACCTGTAATCCACAGCCTCGGCAAAACGTCCTGAACACAATCATGGCAGTCTTGAGCACGAGCTTCCTGTCGCATAATGACGTGGAGGGGCGTAGAATTTAGTAGGGACGTGTCCCTACCAATATCCAGTGACACCGATTTAAATATATTAATACATTGATGTCCCCGTCCCCACCAATTTCAAAATCAAACCTACGCCATGTGAGCTGATGCTGTGTTTGTTTGCAACAGAGAGGGGGGATGCGCGTGTTGTATATTGTTCATCAGAGTGGTACTTACTCGTGCTTTTCCTGGATGCCGCAACCTATATAAAAATTAAGATTACGTTCGCTTGCGCGATCTCAATCGGGAAGGTTGACTTTTCACACATTCCTAACGTTTGAGCTCCAGCAGGAGTTCAAACAACAAATTAAAAATGTCATCATCACCCTCCTTATGTTCCAACCCTGTATGAACTGCAGAACGTCGGGGGTCTAAACAACAGTAAACCCCACAGACAATAACTGGACAAAAAACACTTGAGATTTCTTTCAAATATTTTGTTTTCCACAGAAAAAAAAGTACATAGTTACAGATGACGACAGAATTTTTGTCTTTAGGTTTGAAGCAAGTCTCACTTTACTGGGGTTTTATGGCTGAGTTCCATATGATCATGGATCAGACTTTTTGACCATGGTCAAAAAGTCTGATGAATATCATGCAAAAAGTAATTTAAAAAAAAGTATTACATTCTGAAAGTTTTGACCTTTTAAAGTAAAAGTTTCAAAACAAAATGATCAGATACATTCTTGGCTTCTGTTCCAGTCAAGCAAGTCAAGTGTTGATTAATCTCAGTTCGCCCTTGACTTTGTCCAGGGCCTCAAGATTCATAAGATCCATGCAAATAAAAAAAATGCTTTTCCTCTGCAAGCAAAAGAGTAAACTTCCACACTGCCAAATTCCTCAGCGCTGTTTGTTGAGCTTTGCAGGCCTGGTAACCAAGGTTATGGAATTCCGATCGCAAAACTGCTGGACCGGAGCCCGCCAAAACATATTTCCAGCACTTGGTAAGCTAAGGAAGGGAAGAAGGAGAGAGAGAGAGAGAGAGAGAGAGAGAGAGAGAGAGAGAGAGAGAGAGAGAGAGAGAGAGAGAGAGAGAGAGAGAGAGAGAGAGAGAGAGAGAGAGAGAGAGAGAGAGAGAGAGAGTGAGAGAGAGAGTGAGAGAGTGAGAGAGTGAGAGAGAGAGTGAGAGAGAGTGAGAGAGAGTGAGAGAGAGAGTGAGAGAGAGTGAGACATTCCAAAGCAAATTAGATTTTAGGATATTCCTATTCCCCCCATTTTTTAAAGTGAGGGAGCACGTCTCCCACTCAGGATCACTCCGTTGGTAAAATATGAGTCTTTCGCCTCTGTGCTAAATAACAGCCTTTGGCTATTTCCATGTGCAGGAGGATGACATTAACATTCCATGAGCGTTCTCATGTCGAACGTGTGTGTGTGTGCAGTAAACTGTCAGGCCTGGCACAGTCCGTGCATTCTTGGGGTGAAACTTTACTAAATCATTACAGCGGTCTGTTTTAGGCCTCTTAACATAGGTGGAGACTCGAGAGAAAGCTTGTGTGTTTGACGTCAACTTTATATCTCCGCTGTGCAACACTGCCAAAGGATACGACCCCAGAGAATGTATCTGATCCCATCACATGTCCAAACAGCCTTTTGCTTGAAACACAAAATGACGAAGAAATAAAACCATTCACACAACCTCATCCACTCCCATAACAAACATGGCTATGAAAACAATCTCTTTTAATTCAACCCTTAAAACATACGTTCTTCACAATCATGTCAGTTAGGTTTACAAAAAAGATACTGTATGTATATAAATATTGATTATATAATAAAGAAAGGAAAGTGAGAAAAAGGCACAGCAAAAACAAAACAGATATGTCTAAAGTGCACAAACAGATGATGACGGTAGATGCAATAGGCCATTTGAAAGGTCAAAGGTCAAGGTACAGTGAAAAAGGGAGCGTGCACATGTTCTTTCCTTTACTAGTGCAATAAACTTGGAGCTATTCAGCACTTTTGGGACAAAAGTTTTGGCACTGCTTTTGGTGGCATTTTTTTGTCGAGCTGCCCTGGTGTAACAAGGGTCTTGTCCAATTATCTCGCAGCAACTATGAATCCCAACTAGCTGCCAAAACCCATTCTCCCTCTCAAATAAAAATGGCCATGCGGAGATGTCATGACCTGTATATATCTCTACAGGTACAGGTCAAGGCACTTTGGACTCAGTGATCGTTTTGAGGGCTGCTGTCTTTGCCCAGGTATTTGCAGACGGTGTTGGCGTTTTCCTGCTCCATGCTCTGAATGTGACCTTCCAGTTTCTGAAGCAGCTCTTGAGACCGTAGCGCTTCCTCCTCTAGAAACCGTTTGGTCACTGAGCCATTTGGAGATACAGTGGAGTCCTGGTGGAAGAGGGAGGAATTGACCGTTAAGGATGTTGTGCAGTGTTACAGTATTACACAGTTGGCTTGTCTTATGGCGCTTTTCCACTGCTGGTACGGCTCGGTTCGGTTCGACTCGGCGCGGAACGGTTCGGCTCGCTTCGCTTTTCCACTGCGTGGTACGACTCGACTCGGTACGGCACGGTTCGGTTCGCTTTAGCTCGGTTGCTTTTCCACCGCAGTTAGTACCCCTTCAAAGTGGGTGGGACTGATCGTTATTTTGTCCCTACACTGTTGTAGGTCCGGTGATATCCGTGTGCGGCTAAGAGCTGAGCTACTTCTTGGAACACTTTTTCATTCCGTTTTGCCCCATCCAGCTCTCGCTGGATCCGCTCCTCGGCAACCAACGAGAGGAACGTCTGCACCTCGTCCACTGACCACGATTCAGCCATTTCTTTTTAAAGTTTAAAAAACAGATGCTACCGCGTTGGCTGTTGTCTACTGGTTATTTAAATCTAGCGGGTTTAGTGTCCAATGACGCTGGTAGTGACGATTCTGTCTGACCAATCAGTGATCTGCAGTGTTTTTACGTCACATTTTAGTACCGGTACGGTACGCTTGGAACCTCAACAGACCAGGTACCATTTAAAGCGAGCCGAAGCGAGCCGTACCGTACCGTACCATGCAGTGGAAAAGCACCACAAGTGAGCCGTACCGAACCGAACCGTACCGTACTATGCAGTGGAAAAGCGCCAAAGCGTGCCGTACCGAACCGAACCGTACTATGCAGTGGAAAAGTGCCATTAGGAGAATGTAAAGAGGGTGACAGAAAAAGATTTCAGATTTGTGTACATGGGTCAGTGGCAAATAAGACTGAACACAAACAGGAGGGGGGGATTCGTGGGCCATGCCCCTCAAATGAGTTACTGTGCCCATTGCATCACCCTGACATTTTTGACATTATCCCCCAAAAATCATACCAAATGAATTTTAATGTAGAAATTAAAAATTTGAATATATTTTTTAATAGGTGGGGACAAAAAAATGAGCATCATGTCACTGACCCATATCTCTATTACTGACCAAAGGCAGAAAGTTGTCTACCGAGCTGGAAGCTTGAGCGTCTTCTCCATTAACCGCCGCACTGAGCAGAGCTGCCATCCTATGAGCTTTACGAGTTGAAGATGAGGATGAGGCAGATGATGCAGACGAGTGGACTGGAGACACAGCCATCCTGGTCTCATGTGATTGGCCATAGGGGCGATGAGGGGAAGTTCGTGCCAGGTTCTCAAGCTGTTTGAGGAGAGTCTGTATTTGGTCCTCGTATTGCAAGGCTCTTTCCTGCATCCGAGTCTCCATGGCCTGCAGCTCCTCCTGGTGTCTGCGCTGTACATCCTCATCAAATCTATGACAGCACATTACAGAACTGCATAATATTCACTAGCGTTATACACTATAAAGAAATATATACTTTTATTCAGCAAGGACTAATTAAATTGATCAAAAGTGACAGTAAAGACATTTATAATGTAACAAAAATGTTTCTATTTTAACCCTTTTTAACATTGGTAATTATAAGAAGAAGAAAGGTTTCTTGGGCACCAAATTAGAATATTAGAAATACTTTTGAATAATCATGTGACACTGATTACTGGAGTAATGGCTGCTGAAAATGTAACTTTGCCATCACAGGAATAAATTACTTTTTAAAATATATATATTTTTTTTTTACAATTCAGCAGTTTCACTGTATTTTGTTAAATAAATAAATGCAGCCTTGGTGAGCATTAGAGACATCTTTCAAAAACATTAAAAATGCTGCGTCCCAATTTGCATACTATCCGTCCTAAGTAGTATTCGAAAATAGAATTAGTACGTCCCAAATCGTAGTATGTCGAAATTAGTGTTCCAGAGGTCTACTATTTCCGGTCAGAATCCGAAGTGCAGATCGATGCACACTCTGTCGGCTAATATTTATATTTATATATATATAAATAAATATAATTTATTTTATTCAATGTTGTCTACATTATATTGCATCTGCAGCAGCATTGTGAACTTTTGTAAAGATACGTTTAGCCATTAACTTTTAAATGCATCATTACATACAAATTGCAAACACATGAGGAGAGTCTCCGCATGAAAGACCCACGACTGGCAGATGAACGTGCTGCAACATGGCCAATATTCATCGAAATTCAGGTTTTTAAAATGGAAATCAAGAATTTTCATAGGCCTATTTAAATTTCAGAGGTAAATTCGAAACAAATAAATTCAGATACATGGTTTCCAAAGTAAAATAATTTCAAAGAGGTGAATTCAGAGCAAATAAATTCAGATAAATGTTTTTCAAAATAAAATATTTCAAAACTACCGGTAAGTATTCAGTGGCTGTTAAATTTCAAATAGTTATGTCTCTTATTTTCTTCCATACATACTTGTTGCTATCAAATGAAGCAAGGAAATCTGAGTTTTTATACAAAGAGTCCATATGGTAGTGATGTTACATTTGACACTGAAGCTTCAAAGCGCCTATCGAGTATGCAGCTCAATTTCTTATGAAGCTCCTTGCCGGAGCGTGATCAATGAGAAATGAAGCCTCACTTTCTTTCCAGTCACGTGAATGCTTCACTTTGCGTGTCGGAATGTTTGAACCCAGACCACTACTCTACAGGTTTTTAGAAGTTTAAGTCCATTTACTAACATTTTTTAAAAATATAAATAAGCCTATAGCCTATGTTACATGACCATATATTCTGACACATAAACAGCACAGAAACCATAAAATAATTAGACCAACATTTACTTGCATCAAGCAACTCTGTTGGTATTTTTATAATTAGTCAAATATAATTGTTACATTTATTTTATTGCCACACTTTAATATGTGAATTATATTATCAGAAAACTGAACATTCAGGCTTTTATTTGTGCTTAATGGATAAAACAACGGCGCTGCACACTCAGCTGCTCATAAACATGGCTGCTATAAATTTGAACTGCCACAAGATGGCGCTGTTTTCGACACTCTTGATGCTTCGAATCTTTTCCCAAAACATTCAGGGGAAAGCCTCAGTGCTTCATGAGGCTTCCTTTGCCCATCCCTACCATATGGTCAGTGTTGAGCATGTTACTTAAAAAAAGTAATTAGTTATAGTTACTAGTTACTTCTCACAAATAGTAACTGAGTTAGTAACTGAGTTACATCATTATAAAAGTAACTAATTACCAGAGAAAGTAACTATTGCGTTACTTAAAAAAAAAAAAATTCAAATAGGCCTATGTCAAATAATTTGGATGCCCCCAGTATTAAATATGTTAAATTAATGAAATGGACACTTAATAGTGTAGATTAGTGTTCAATGTTTTATAATACTAATTTATTCTATTTTAATGTTGCTGTGGGACAATGTGAGAGACGCCTATTAAATTCAATATATTATTCTAAATATTAGCATTACTATAGTAGAACAATAAAACATTATAGATGGTTTATACTTAATATCGCACAGACCCCAACTGGCCAACAAATTAGTTTAAAAATAAATTATGATTCTTAAGAAATGTACCAAAAATGAATAAATAATAATAAAATATACATACTCTTTGTGCATATTAAATGATAAAACTGTTACACAACTTCACAACTAGTAGACATACTGTAGCCTAAGTATTTTATTCCTCACAAAAGTAAACAGTTTAACAAGTGCTCTCTCAATATAATACTGAACAATGTACCAAAAAAAATATATATAATACTAAAATATAATATTTTGGGGGTTTATTTTTAGCAAACGTCATCATCAGAGGTTATTTAAGCCAAATTCTAGACATGTTTGCTGCACGTGTTTACAACCGGTCAAACAAAGATGTTTTCTGGGAATGTTCCCTGCAGGTTATTTTCGGGTTTTATTTTAAAACCTAAACAGAACGTTCCCTGTAGGTTATTTTTTAGATTTTATTTGTATAACCATGTCAATTAATTAACGTTGCAGATGATACCAATAGGCTACAGATAATGCTGTCTAATGCTGAAATGTGTAATTTATTTATAAACAAACTAAATAATGCTCGGACACCCTCGGTCTCTCTTGCGCAACTGTTGAGCGCGCTCTCGGACACACTCGGTCTCTCTCGCGCATTGAGCGCGCTCGCGCCGTTCGCTTCGCATTTGTCCACTCCGGCGCCTCATAAACACACACACACACCAGAGAAAAAACTTTGCAGGTCCTATGGCGGAGAGAGCATACTCGGATGAAAACCGCTTCAGTGAGTTCAATTATAGTAACGCCACATTTTTTTTGTCAGTAACGGTAACTGCGTTGTAACGGGGGAAACAGTAATTCGTTTGATTACTCGTTACTGAAAAAGACAACGCCATTTATTTATAACGCCGTTATTCACATCACTGGATATGGTCAATGTCACATTTTTGCTTATTTGATGAATCAGAAATATTTCTCTTTAAAACCTTAAAAATTTCTGTTCATCCCAAATTTTCAATGCGGTCTTAGACTTGTAATTCTCAGACTGTATGATTTTAGATCAGAGAACATTTTTATTTGGAAGTACTTTGTACCTGTTTTGGGCATTGTGCGAATGGTTCTTGTTCTGATTTTGTAGTAACGCTCTCTCATACTTGTCCTGCCAGGTCTGGTTGTTGGCCTCCATACGAGCTCGTAGCTCAGTCATTTCCAGCCTCAGCTGCCTGTTCTCCTCCTCCAAACTGTTCAGAGATGACACGTAGCTATCTCTAAGACTTGCCAGTTCTCCATTACCCCTCTAAGAGAGAAACAAAGAGAAAATGAAAATGAATGAGCAACAATGACATGAAAAATTGGAAGGATGCAAAATAGAAATAAATAATCTGCATTGCATCATAAATTCAAATACCAGTGGTACGGTACCATCACAGAGAGGCACAAAATCACTCTCAAAAAGTTTTAGTTCACTGTTCCTTGCTGGTGGAATGATCTTCCCAACCGAATCCCTGACAATTTTCAAGAAACAGCTGAAAACTCATCTCTTTCGTGAGCACTTAACTGCATCAAATAATAATAATGAAAACTATTTCACTATTGGAAAAGTCTGGAGAGACATTAGAGAGCGGGAAGGCCTGAAAAAGGATGCTGAGGTTGCTTTCTTTCTGCTCGATACATGAGTAACATTGGTTTTGCTATGTTTCACACAACCAAGAAATACTATTGTTGTTTTTGATTCACAGCCAATTCATCCAGACTTGCGCGAGCTGTCTGATACACCAGCTGTTAGTCGTTACCTGTGTTGCATAGCATGTTCGGTATGTTGGGGGCAGAGCAATGGAGGGAGGGGTGTGTTTGTTTGGGTTTGATTTCAAATATCAATAGTGTTGATGCACCTTTAATAAAGCCCAAAACATTACTTAAACGTGAACACATTATAAGTTAAAATGAAGGTTTACTGAGCAAAGGATGGAAACCTTAGGTGATCTTGACTCGACTCTCTCTAGAAGATCATTTAGATGCTGATTCTCAAGCTTTAGAGTTTCAAGCTGGACCTGTGTCACCTACAAAAACCAACATGAGAACACAATCAGTTTATGCATGATTGAATAAACTAGTAATTCTCAACAGGTCTATTAATATAGGGTTATGACTAGCAGGTTTTTGGTGGACCTTGAGTTCTGATGCCCGACGCTCTGCTCTTTCCACTTCTGCCCGTAGCTGTCGCTCAATACTAGAGGCGGAGCCAGTGAGTGTGGCAATGGTGATGTCACGCTGATGAAGTTCACTGGTTAACTGAGACACCTCCTTCCTCATTCCCTCCAACTCCCCACAACGAGTCTGTTCGGCCCTCTCAATCTCTTCACGCAACTACAGGCACAAAGAGTTATCAACATGTTTGTCAGTAATTTGTACACATTAATAAATCTTTCGCAATCATTTCTCTCGTTGTGAATGAGACAGCTCAGTGTGTTAAAATAAATAAAGCTGCCTAACCACACACTGATAATACATAAAAAAACTCAAACAGTAAAACTGTATTGCTCATACACGTTTGATTTCGGCTGAACAGCGAGCGTGTTCCTCTTCCATCTGTTTCCACTCATTTTCTCGTCTGCTCATCTCTGCTTTATGCTTTCGCATGCTCTCCAACCTGACAAAACAAAATGGAGTTCAAGGTTTATATTCCAGAATGAGCTTTTAATTATTAGTTGCCGCTGTTGTATATTCTCATGAAGAGACTTTTTAAAAACATCTCACTTGTCTCGGAGTCGGATAACCTCAGCTTTCAAGTGACTCTCACAGGCCTGGGAACTGTTCAGCTTGGCTGTGGCTTTCTCTAGATCTTGTCTAAGGGAGGCCAAGCTTGGAGACAAACCGTGTGATGCGAAACATTCCTCTAGAGACCTAAACAAAAAGATAAGTGATTTGTAAATCATGGTTGCATACTGAGCTTGATACCTAGCAAGTTACTTTATGGACTGTTGTTAAATGATCATGGAACATTGAAATGATTATGATAACGTACCTTATGACTTGCTCTTTTGCTTGCAGAGTTTGGTTGAGTCGGGACACTTCCCGGCGTAACTGCTGCTGCTGGACTCCCGTGCTACGTACAAACTGATCCTGAGCATTCAGTGTGGCCTTCAGCTCCTCTCGCTCTTCACTCAAAACCTGCAGAGAATAGCTTTACTATTATTCCTTCTATCACATATTTGATTTAAAACCACATTCACCACTTTTCTTGTACACTTTACAATAATAGCGATGCTGCAGCTATTAAACCAGCATTTAGTGCTTCATTCAAGTTATGTTGGAATGATGTGCTTTGACTCTGAGCTTTCAAAATATTAAAAGAAAAGCACCATAAAACTATCAGATAATTTATCCATTCAACTTGTGCACTATATAACTGAAGTCATGTGTGAAAAACAACCCAAAATTTAAAATTACCCACTGATACCTTACCTGATAACTGCTGAGAATGGAACATTGAATAAGTGAGCTGAACTCAAGAACCCAATCAGTCTGATTCATGAAAAATCATTCAAAAACAAAAAGAAATTTTTCAAGCTTCAAAAGGTTCATACAGACAGTAAAAAAAGTTATCCATATGAATAGAGCAGTTTAATCCAAGTCTTCTAAAGATACATGATTGCTTTACATGATGAACATATTTAATTCAGGCTTTTATTCACATATAAACATTGAACAGTGCACATACATGGAGCACATCAAATGTAGTAAAACTCATTGGTTCTTGTGCGTCAAACAAGCACGTTTAAGCTTTCTTTGACCATATTTGAAGTGTTTTTTGTACGTACATTGATCAATACGTGGATAAAAGCCTAATTTAAATCTGTTCATCAAATAAAGCAATTGTGTCTCTTCAGAAGTGTCTCTACTTTACAATGCCTTTATATACTTTTTGAAGCTTGAAAATTTTCGTTTCATGGACTCTTAATGGATGGACAAAAATTATAATGTTAAGAACATTAAAAAAATATCTTTATGTGTTCTGAAAATCAACAAAAATCTTATTGGATTTGGAACGACATGAGGGTGAATAAACCATGCCAGAACTTTCATTAACCCTTTAAGGTCTTAAGCAGGAACTCCCCAGGAGGATATGAAGGCATATACCTACTTTTCCTCTTGCTTCTCAAATACTACACTATGTACTACACTCTAGAGGCCATTTCTAGCTCTACTTTTCTTGTGGATCTGCATCTACCTGTCCCCGTTTGTGGGCTGCAGCGGGGCAGCTGACCTGCTGTTCCTTGATGGAGTCTCCCAGCTCATCCTGGAGCAGCCGAAGTCTCTCCAGTTCCAGTTCTTGCGTATGTAGACTGTCCTGAGCCCTCTGCAGCTGAGAGCGCAACCGCTGGAGTTCCCCCTGCTCCTGCGACCGACCTACACCCTGAGACTGAGACACCCAAAATTTCACACATATTAATAATAAATTCAAGTGTATTTATAAAGCACATTTAAAAACAACAAAAGTTGTACCCAAGTGCAGTACAGTTAAGAAAAATGCAATACCAGAATTAAACAAAATTAGCAAAGTGTTACAAATAAAATAAACTTACCAGACAAGTAAAACATTATAAAACATACAAATAAAACCCTATATACCTCAAACAGCATCAAAGCTATGGAGATTTTTTTTTTTTTGTAGATTTAAATATGGCCAGTGTAGAAGAGGACCTAACATAAAACGGAAGTGCATTCCACAACCTGGGGGCCACAACTACAAATGCCCGATCATCACCATTGGTTTTCAAGCAGAAACGGAGAACAGAGAGAAGTAACTGATTTGATAAAGGAAGAGACCTAGATCAGCAATGTACTGTGGGGCTTGACCATGCAAGACCTTATAAACATATAGCAGAAACTTACATTTAACTCTGTAAGTAACTGGAAGCCAAAGTAGGCAAGCAAGAACGGGGTTGATATGTTCTCTTTTCCTGGTACTCGGAAAATGGTCTTAATGCTGCATTTTGCACGAATTGCAGATGTGAAATAGTAGACGACAAACCCACATACAAGGCTTTACATAATCAAGCCGGAATGTAATAAGAATCATTATTTCCAAATCCTTCTGTGAGAGGAACTGTTTTATTTGGCAATGGACCCGAGATGAAAAAAACTAAATCAAAGATGATACCCAAGTTCTTACCTCTACTGTGCAAGGTTAAAGACAGAGTACCTAACTGGTTTTCGATGCCAGCGATATACAACAAAGAACCAAATGCAATGACCTAATTTTTTAATCCTCATTAAGCTTTAGGAAATTTAACTTCCTCAAGACAAGAGGTGAGATTATTACTGGAACAACAAACATTTGACCTGGCAGGAAAGTATAGTAGTGTATCTTCTAGAAGAAGCATAGAAAAGCAGGGGGCCCAAAATGCCACATCTTCCATGAAGTTAGAGAAAAACCATCTTAACGCAACCCCCTGGACGCCAACCACCCGTATTATTAAATCAACTTTAACAATCCTCATAAGAACAGTGTTGAGCTCATAGCTCATTTGTGGGTTCTTGTACCAGAAACCTCAACCACTAAACCATACCAAAATGTCATGCTTGACTCAATTGACCCTTCGCAGGGAGCTTGATTGACAGGTGATCTGACCAATCATACTTCGCCATCCGCCATTTTGTCCGACAAAGCAGTCAGGAGAGTTAGTAGATTAACATGGGAGGATTTGAACTTGAAAAACGGAATGTACTGATGCCTTTCTGTGGTTAAAACAACATTCCTTCTTATGTTCATTCATGTTTATTTGATGCTATAAATGAACTAGAAGGAAGAGATGATCGGATCACGAGCAGCTTTAACTGATGCTCTACAGCGATCTGTCACGACACATTAAAGAGCCACAAAACGTATTTATCGTTTAAATTTCTTTTTAAAAAATGACCAAATTTAAAAGGTGACTTTGTTTAATGTTTAATATCAAAAGTAACCGAAAAGTAACCTGGTCTGTCCTGTCTGTCAGCGTGTTGTCAGTCCGCGATGTATTTTTCACTGCGTGAGAACATGGTGTGTGTGTGTGTGTGTGAGAGCAGCGTAGCTTGTCGGACATAGCGACAGTAACTAAGGGGGGCCGGGTCTTTGCGAACGGTCAATTATCAAACCTGGTATAAAAGTTAGGTTTCAAATAAAGTCCACCTGAATGAGGGAAAACTGTTCAGCCAGGTTCTTCCTTTGCTCCTCCAGTGAGGTCACTTGTCTTTGATACTGCATTCTCTGCTGTTCCCATTCTGCTGAACGCAGACGAAACTCCTACATAAAAAAATTAAAATAAAAAGTTCAATGACCTTTAAATTATTGAACTAAAACTATTAAATGATTCTGATACAAACAATGAAGACCACTTTATATTTAGCCAGTCTAGTCTGTACCTCCATCTTGCTATTGAGGAGGGACATCTCAGTCCTGTCCTCCTCTCTGCTCAGAGCTCCTTCTCGCGCCTCCTTCAGATGTTTATGCTGTAGCTTTTCATAGCTGCGTTTCAATTTAGACAACTGTTGAAAGGAGTTATTGTTAACTATTTTGATAAAAAAAAGAAATGTTTTGTAGAATCAGGTCATACCGCGTGTTTGAGAAAAATACTGTGTGTGTGTAACAATAATATGTACCACCACTACTATGGCTAAAATAAAAGCTGATCTTACCTCATCTTTTACATGCTGCAGCTGTTCTTCATACTTTACAACCAGCTCTTGTTTTCCAGCTTGCATCTCATCTAGCTGTTTCCCGAGCACCTTGATCTGAAGAACATAAGATCATGCTTGTCAGAGCCTGTGTGAACTGCAGCTCAAACATGACACCTAGTGGAGTGTGGTGATCTTACAATGAAAGATGGCCACTCACTTTATTATAGCCTATAATGCATATTATAACAATGCTGGGGTCTGAGACCACTAGTCAAAAAAATGCTTTTTTTTTTCTCTGAAATAAAACATTTTTCATTGCAAATTATATTATCAGCATAACAAGTTTAGTTTTATTCAAATTTAATTAAAAAAATAATATGAACTTCCTGTAGTATTTGCAGTCTAATTATTTTAATGACAGCAGAACTCACTGTCACAACTTAACTTATTTGTCTTTTTTTAATTCTTTTTTTTTTGTCAGAATGCTTTTTTTTATTTTAGATTTTTAAAATCTTTGTTTAGTTTAAGATTAGATATTGAAGCAGATTTTCAACATGATCTCAGACTTTTGAAACCCATGGAGTTATTAAATTATAATAATATAATATTTATAATAATATATTTTATTTAAAGCAACATTAGATGCATGCATCTACACTTTAAATCTAATTCATTAAGTCAGTTATACTGATATGATGCGTCATGTCTAGCTGATCTAACAAAACTAAAATATGAAATACCTTTAAAAATATAACAGAATAACATAAACATAACAGAATACTGCCTTGGCCTATATTACTCACAATATTACAGTAGGTGTCATGGGACAGTATACCGTGTATATACATTTTCAATGGAGGGACAGAAAACTCTCGGACTAAATCTAAAATATCTTAAACTGTGTTCCGTAGATGAACGGAGGTCTTACGGGCTTGGAACGACATGAGGGTGAGTCATTAATGACATCATTTTCATTTTTGGGTGAACTAACCCTTTAATGCAACATAGAAGTTTAGAGCCAATCAAAACAACAATCAATGTAGCTTTATTAACAATCCTGATCTAACTAATAGGTCACATAGTTAATGCTCAAACAAAAGCACAGAGTCTGGTCTAGTCCAGTCATGCAGGAAGACCCATGCCTTCATGCAGATCACCTGCTGTATTCCCTTTTCCACTACCAACTTCAACATTTGGAAACCACCATCCTGGAGCTCCAGCAGGGACATCATCACTTCTCTCACCCTAAGCGTCTGCCAGGGGTGAAGGCAGAGCATATGACGTATGTGATTTTGCTGAGCCATAATATTTACAAAGAGATCTCACCATTGAAAGTGTAAAACAAAACCATCTTAGTCCTTAAGAATAACTTGTGGCCTCATATTATGTTTCATTGTGTTGAATGCAGTCTGTAACATACTTTGTCTCATAAAGTATAGTAGTACTAATCACAAATCAGCCAATTAACAGTTGATCTACAACAAACTAGAGAGTGCTTTGGTGAGTAACTAAGCAAATGTTTAATACCATACTATAAACGAAAAGGTAGGTCAAAAACTTACACTTAGACACAGACTGACCACTAACCACAACTTTCAGATGGCATTTTTTTTTTTTTTTAAACTGTCATGGAATTAAACACAGAGGATTGTGGCATATCTTGTGGTATGCCTACAAAAATCGATCAGATGCCACGGGCCAATCTCGGCCCAGGGATGGATTTCAAACGGCCCGCAGCTTATCAATTAAAATATACAATATGTGGCCCGCCACACCTAATTTACAAATCATGCGTCTCAAAATATAACCAGAAAGTAGCAACACAAGATTTTACCCCAGGTGTAGCGGTAAACCGTGAGTGAGTAACCATGTTAGGATGTTAGGACACAGCTTGTTATCGGGAATTCGGGATAGCACCATGGCCACATCAAAGAAATGTTAAGTCGATTACTCGATTTTATGAGTGCTGGAAATAAGATCATTTTTTCACTGAGAGTCTTGCAATTATTGCTTTTGTCTCATTTGCCAAAAGACAGTCTCTATCATAGGCTAAATTGATAATGCAGATGAATATGGAATACATCAAATTGTAATGCACTTTTTCTATATGGAACTTTTCAACTTAACTGAACATAGGGAAAAATAATTGTGCTTCATTATTGATTAATTTATACATTGATTGAACAATGAATTAGCCTAGTCTGAGGCAGTTTGACTGTGACCTGACCTAACAATAAATAATATTTACCTTAAATTAAGAGAAGCCTGTTATTGTTAATGTGCATGCTTTTATATATATATATATATATATATATATATATATATTAGGGCTGTCAAATGATTAATCACGATTAATCGCATCCAAAATGAAAGTTTTTTTTACATAATATATGTGGATGCATTGTGTATAATTATTTTGTATATATATAAATACACACACATGCATGTATATTTAAGAAAAAAATATAATTTATATATAAAATATTTATATTTATATATAATATAAATTATATATAAATCTATATACAGTATATACATGAAAATATTTCTTAAATATATACAAGCATGTGTGTGTATTTATATATATAAAATAATTATACACAATGCACCCACATATATTATGTAAAAAAAACTTTTATTTTGGATGTGATTAATCACGATTAATCATTTGACAGCCCTAATATATATATATATATATATATATAGTATCCGGCCCCCTGGTGTGTCTAAAACATTCAATCTGGCCTACTTTAAAAAAAAATGTGGACACCCTTTGTTTAGTGTAACACAATAGCCTTAAACTCCAAACTTAAATATGACCATAACCAGGTGATCAAGGTGTGATATAGTACCTCTGAGCTCCTCTTGTCGAGCAGAGCCCTGGCTGACTGGAGTTCCTCCTGTGTATTCTGCAGTCGCAGCTCCATGGCTCGAACCTCAGCTTCCCACTCACGCCGCTTGTGCCCCACCATGATGTCAATCTGCCGCATCAACTCCTGTAATTCTGGCTCACAGGATGACAGGACAGAGCTGAGGAGATGAAGAGGAGACAAACAGCATGTAAACAATAGTGAATAGTATACTGTGCCTACAGTACATACATAGAAATGCATAACACAAGTCAGCATTTTTTTTTTTATAAATGAGGATTGAGCAGAATTTGAATTATCCTCCTTACCTGACATCATGATCACGGAGCGTGCTCAGAAATTCCTCCATTTTTTCTCAGTGACCTTCCATGTACATAGTTATTACATGATCAAAATCTGGACTGCATGCATGAGAAAAAGAGATAGTTTATGAGCAGAGATAATGGGTGTAAATCACAATATCACATCTAGTATTGCATTTGCATTAGTTACCAAGGGCAACTGTGCTACAAATGCCATCTATATGTGTGCTGTGGTAGAATGAACTATTCTGACATATTGTGATTTCAGGCTTTCGGGAATCAGATAAAACAGTATTTCAGTGGTAAAACATGTTAACAAAGAAATAGAATGAGCCAGTGGTGTTCCAATAATAACGAGGTATTACATGCTGAGCTATTATTGAAAGCTGAACAACTAAGTTATATAATGTGGTAAAATCACGTTGATAACTGGCTCTGTATATTTACACACCGGGTTTTATTAATGTACTACTATTAATGTGTTAGTAACAAATCACTACTTGGCTAAAATTAGCCTGTTAGCGTGGAGAAAAAGTTCGCGCATTATCTAACGTTACTTGTCAGTTTGCCGAGAAAATGAACGTACTTCACGACCTTTGAACTCAAGATAAAGTTAGTGTTAACGTTTATATTTCGAAATTACAAATCTCACTTACAACTCCAGAGACACTAGACATCATGTTTGTCAACTGGGGTTGTAGGGGTGACAGAAACGCAACAGTTGAAAGCGAACAACAACCAAGAACATCACAACAAGAGAACAGAACAGTCAGCCACTCTCCCTGTGCTTCCGCACTGTGTCACGTGTGCAGTACAATGAAAGCACATCGGAAATGGAAGCCCATTTGGTTTCCAACACAAAATCATGCTTTTGTAAATAATAATTATGACATAAAAAGTCGATTTTATATTTATTAGATGAAACGTCAAAATTAATGACATACTAAACCGAAATTTTGACACTAAAATGGCGAAATTATGACAGAGAAAGACATAAATTTGACTGTTTAACTCACAATTTCATTTTTTTATCTCGTAATTATGAAATTAAACTATTTAAATTCATTATTTGAATTAATTATTTTGTGTCATTTTGAACTTTTATCTCATAACCTTTCATCTCATAAATGTATGTCAGAATTTCGACTGTTATTATGTCATTTACGATTTATCAAAGCATGTTTTTTTCTTATGTGGCAAAAATGGGCTTACATACAGTACGGTCATTGGAGTCGTTTTATATCGTGTAATAGTGTGGTGTATTTTACTCTAAATACTCTGTCTATAACTTTAGAACTCATAAAATATAACAGACTGGCTTATTTAGTTGTCGCAAGAAAGTTTTTGCGCACCCATAAACCATGATGAGCCATTTGCTTGCAACCCAATTTATATTTGTGGTATCAATATTTGGATATAAAGATAAACACAACAGAATATCAATCTTTTCATCCACTACGGTGGCAGGCACAAGACAGCTGTATAAACACTCGACATTATCGTAAAGGACTGTGGGTAATTTATTCTCCAATGTTGACATCAGAGATGCAGCATCAGTCAGCTTTAGCAGAGAATACGAGAGAGCTTCAACACATTAGTTCACCCACCGAATGTTGCATACGGATACCCTAGGTGACTAGGTTTTAACAAAATGAAAATACTTCACACTTTATAATACCGCACATGAGTGTTTACAAATACACGTGTTTTTGGTAAGTAACGTTAGTTAGCTAACTAGTAATGGATACAAAGTATGCGGATTTTTACTGTGATTTATATATGTTATTGTAATGTCAATAAATAAATGAACTCAATACCATACATTCAAATCGGAACTGCATACATTCAAAAATGTAAAATGTGCTAAACAATTAACGTTATAGTACAGTATTGCAATATTGAATGAGGATAATAAGATGCGTTAATTAATGTTTTGGTGTGGCTCAGTTGACCACATTGTATTTGCATAGCGTAAGTACAGCAACAACATTGACGTTATAATGACCACAGTATTTGACGGTGTACGTTAAGGTTTATATTGTCTCAGGTTGCAATCTAAGTTGCACGTGGCTCGTTGGTCTAGGGGTATGATTCTCGCTTCGGGTGCGAGAGGTCCCGGGTTCAAATCCCGGACGAGCCCTTTGTTTTTTGTTTTGTTTATTTACTTATTTACTTGTTACATGTTCCTGTCATTTATAGTGATGAAATACATAGATACATGTAAAATTTCGATATGTTATGCAAGACGGGATGTACGTACAACGTAGCAATAACGCAATCGAAAGAGTTATCACAGACCGACGCGTCTTCGCCTAACGTTGGACTCCTAGGCAGAAAACGAACGATATTTGCAGACTTGCAGTCAAGGTCGAAGAATATAGGCTTATGGGTTAATAAGAACAATTTACCCTCAACATCATAAAAGTTATGCTATTTTTACGATAATGATTTATATACTTTCAATGCTTTAATTCTAACAAGCGGCTCGTTGGTCTAGGGGTATGATTCTCGCTTTGGGTGCGAGAGGTCCCGGGTTCAAATCCCGGACGAGCCCATGTTTTGTATTTTATTATGCTATGTGAGGATACTTTTGTGAGAAAATGTTATAATAACATTTGACAATAATAATGTATATACTGATATCGTCAATGTCATAACATTAAGATGACAAGAAAAAATACTTTACAAATCTATTAATGCTTCCCATTATTTCAGAATAATCTATCATAATTTATAAATAGTATGACCTCCTTTCTAAGTTTAAGACACTGTAGCCTACCTAAAACATCAAACATACTGATCAGTATTTTTTTCCCCTTTTCTTCTCTTCCTATCCAGCGCACTGTGCTGATATGAACCCTCAGAAGGTCCCTCAAATCTCGATCGACCTGCTGAAGGCACCGCCGGAAAAAAGCCATTTGATAACCCTTTATTTGATAGTTGACTATTTTTCAATTATCTATTTACAAATATTATAATCATTACATTCAAATTTTATCTAATTTTATAGATTGTATTTCAATATTTGCCACTGAAGACAGTTCCCCTTCAGGGTTTTTTCCGTCTGTCCTAACAAGTTTTTCCATGTCAAGTTATGTCATCCTTAAACATGGAATTTCTGAACTTACAGGATTTCTTGACTTTTCCAGTAAGGCAACTGAGGTACACTGAAATTCTAAATAACCTAGAGAGCTACGCTTGATGTGCCAATGGGGGAGGAGAAAGGCAGATATAACCTCCCCCACGACTCCACAGCCTCACGCGGCGGTTATTCACACTGACAGCAGAGCCAGTTTGCTCTTATTCACACACCTACTATTTCTCACTCAGATGAGTTAATCTTCTGACAAAGAGCTGCAACAGTCTATACAGAGAACTGAATTAGGCTACTAGTCACTGTTCTGTAAGTATATTTCTTGATTTCTTAGTTTCTTTCTTAAACTAAGGTTGATTTACATTTTTTTGTGTGTGTGTGTGTGTGTGTGTCAGTGTGTGTGTGTTTCATTAAATATATTAAAAATCATTTTAATATTAAGTTACACGACAAGCGATCTTAAGCCTGGTTTCAGAGACATGGCTTAGATTAAGCCATGAGACTTTAGTTATAGCTTTTATAAACATGCCTTAGGAAAAAACATTACTGGTGGTCATCTTGAGGCAAAAACAATTGACATATTTTAAGATATCTCAGTGCAAGTTGCTTTCAGTTAAAACAGTTCAACCATGCATTTTAGTCTCTGATTAAGTCTCTTAATCAGTATTTTGTTTTGTTTTCAGTAAAATATCCTAACATCCTTAAAACAAAATAAATTTACTTTATAAACAAAACTGCGTACGATATTAAGACTGAAAAAAACAACAACTTGAGTTTGATTTTTTTTTCTTACAACATCATTGAAAAGTGTTTATCTTAATCTAACGGAGATATAAGCTTAATTCTTACTATGCAATATTGCTTCTCATGTAGCCTATTAATTTTGTTCAAGGGTGTTTAGATGTTTTCACTGGAAATAGGACATAAACGGTCATTAATTTAGTGATTTTTGCAGTGTGCTGTTTTACACAATAAACAAAGAACATACTGTTCAAATGGTTTGACATAAAAGTCAAGTTACAGTTTGACTAAAGATGTTTCTCATATAATCTTTGACCATCACTAACAAGAGAGCAAAACTAACTAAACAAGTAATAAGAGCAATGTTATGGAATATTCTGTCAATTGAATATTGGTGAACTGAAATAGATGTTCTCATGGCTGCAGAAACCAGAGATCTTGTCACTCTTCTTTTTCATGCAGTATTGTAGGCCTATTGTCTGCATTAGGTCAGAGGTCAACACTCAGAGGTCAAATTAAATAATATAATATTCTAGACGAACAGGTGGTCTGCAGCATTAGAGTTGAATACTATACGGATGAATGCTTGGTGAGAGTCAATGATGGCTTTGCCATCTGCTTCAAGATTTTAACTGTCATTTTAATGTGCTTAAAGGGATAGTTAACCCAAATATGAACATTCTGTCACTGTTTACACGTCATTCCAAATCTGTATGCATTTCTTTCTAATGAGGAATACAAAAGAAGATATTTTTGAGAACATTGTGATATCCTAATAACTTTGGACCCCATTGACATGCATTGAATGGGCAAATAAACCAAAACAACACAGAATCATTTTAAAAAATATCCTCTTTTGAGTTTCAAGAAAGTAATTGTTGGGTGAACGCTGCCTTTACACAACAGTTATGTCCATATGCACGAGGTATGCCTGAAAGTTCCATCTTTTTTTGTTTGTTTTTCCAGAGTACGCTAAACACTTTCCAGAAGACAGAACTACAAAAACATTATATCAGCAACTGTATAAAAGTTCCAGTTTTCCGCCATGGTGCTGTTTGAGGATCAGGAATGTGGGGTCTGTTACCTGCGTTACTCTCGCACCGACCGTGTTCCCAGAACTCTCCACTGTAACCACACATTCTGCACCCCCTGTCTGGAGACTATGGGGCTGCATTACAGCGGCCTGCGCACCATTCGCTGTCCCCTCTGTCGCCAGGTGACCTGTCTGGACCGTGGGCTCAGCTTGCAGGAGGCTCTTTTTGTCAATAGCCAACTGTGGGACAACATTTGTGCTGAACAGGAGGAGGAAGAGAACGAGAGAGAGCAGGAAAAGGAGGAAGAGGAGAACAACTCTAGTATACAGGTTCTGCCCTCATCACAGGCTGAATGGTGAGTGACAACATGATCTATTCATACAGTGACTTGATCACACCGCTTCTGTGATGAGTGTGTTTTTAATTTCTGAATTAAATGTATTTTTTGGTTGAGGGGCATTAAGTAAAAATGATGAAATTCTCAAAAAGAAAACAGTAATTCACCCAGAAAAATGAAAATTCTGTCATCATTTACTCACCCTCAAGTTGTTCCAAACCTCTATGGATTTATTTTTGGATTTATTGTGAATAATGCCAGTAACCAAACAGTTGATGGGCCACATTGACTTCCACAGTATTTTTTTCTATAATTTTTTTTTTCTATATATGGAATACATATTCTTCAAAATATCTTCTTTTGTGTTGAGCAGACGAAAGACATTCATACAGGTTTGGAACAACTTGAGAGAGAGTAAATGATGACAGAATTTTCATTTTTGGTTGAACGGCAAAAGCTATTATTATTCCTTATGGGAAAAAAGCAGTTAATAATAAAATATTAACAGTTATAAATATAACAAAATATTATTAATATTTGGAAAAAGGTCCTGTGATACAAACAGGTATTATGTCAATATTTATAAAAATTATATCAAATATGTCAATACTTTTCTTAAAATATCAGATTATTTGACCGTTTCAGACAAGCCAAAGTTAGTTCAGGCTCTAAAATGTCAGGTTCTCCCCAAAAACATAATGATATTTGTATTGAAAAATATGTTCTAAAACTTTCAAAAACACTCAAATACATTCAAGTTATAAAAACAATATGTTATACATTTTTATTTGATGACATTTTAAGAGTCATTAAATGTAAATGTTTGTTAAAAATGGAATTTGGTACATGTGTTTTAAACTAGAAGTATTTTTTTTTCTTTTACTTCATTGACCCTTCAAGTACCTTAGTGACTGGTGGCTATTGTGTAACATGCAACCAGATGCTGAAATTAATTTACAGAGTCAAGTGAGCCTTTGAATCAGCAACCTCAATATCACCAGATTCTGTTTATAAGTAGCCAGAAAACTAGCAGAAAACGCACATCCGTTGTTACGTTTGGTCTTGTTAGTAGAGCATTTGTTCTTAAATCTCTGATCACGTTTAATGCTTAAAGTAAACCTCAGAGCGTTTGTGTTGTAGTAACTCTGCTGTGACAAAAAAATAAGTCCTGAATGCATCTGTGTTCCTAATCATACCTTCTTCCTCTTGTCTCTGGTTTTAGTCCAATGCCGAAACAATACAGACCTAAACTCCGACTCCCATCTTTCCTGAAAAGAATGAGTTTCTCCAGACATCCTGAAGAGAGGATTGTTCCCACCTGCAATGTGTGAGTCTTCCGTCTACTGTGATGAACGACACCAGTTCAAAAATGTCAAAGTCATTTTGCATTTTATATCTAGCTCATTCACCCACAAATGAAAATTCAGTCATTTTGAAAATTCAGTCAAAATCAGTAAATAAAAAAAGGAATGATATTCAGGAGAGTAAATGATTACAGGATGTTCATTTCTAGGTGAATATTTTTTTAAACATTATTGTGGCAGCTAGATTTATCAAAAGTAAAGAAATAAAGAAAACATGTTAACATTTTCAGTTTTACTGACTTTTAGCTTTGTCTTTCAACACAGAGAAATGATGTCATGGCGAAGGATTTCATCAGAAGAGATATTCTGAAAAGCAGAACAGACATCACAAACAGTGGATTAACAATAGACTTTCGCCGTCTGTTTTGCTGCTGTCCTTAAAAGTGTTTGCCATGTGCTAATTACGCCTGGCGTACTGAAAAAGCAGGAGCAATGGAAAAGGTCGTTTAAACAAACACAATCCCCATGTGCTTCTCCGACTGCATTTTCCACTTGAATAGCCACAAGCCTGCATCCCGCTCCTCCATCTGAGGGGAACTTCTCATTAGATATTCCACCCTTAATCCATCCCAGCTGCTGAGGCCGGATTTGTTTCAGCTGTCCCGAGAGGGATAGGGTCCCAGATGCGAAACAGGACTTTTGGAGCAGATGGCATCTTGTCAAAAGATTCTGATCCCCTCAAATCTCAAATAGACTCTTTTAAGATATTTTGTTATTTATATAATTTATTAATTATTGTAAATTAAACATTTTGATTGCTAAATGTTGTTGGTCTCTTTCTCTCTGACTTTCTGTTTTACATGATTAGCTACAACAAGGGGCTTCAAACGTTTTGATACCAAGGACCCCAAATTTAGGGACTCCCTTCCTAACATTCTTTTAGAATATATAATATATAAAGACCCATTTATGAGATCAATCTTAAAGGGGTGGTATAATACGTTTCTGATGTCCCCAAAGTGTGTATGCGACGTTTTAGCTCAAAAATACCCCACAGTTTATTTTTTATAGTATGTTAAAATTGTCCCTATTTGAGGGTGAGCAAAAACGCGTTTTGTGTGTGTCCCTTTAAATGCATATGAGCTGTTGCTCCCTTTTAAGAAGAGGGAGGAGCTACAACAGCTAGTGTCCTAGTAGCTTGCAGACAAGCACTAAAATGCCAGAAACTGTTCTGCCTTTTATGTTTAAACTGGAGTCAGACAATGCTGGAAAGACTCAAGAAGAAGTGACAACATGCAGAATGCAACAGGACGTTTCTGAATGGTTAGTTGACGAATTTATGTTGCTGATGTGGAGTTAACTATCTTCAAGTCTTTGAATAGCATATTCTGTCATTATAATCTATAAATCGCTCGTGTGGGAACTGTTGTAAGATGCCTACAGAGTGACATGCTATTGTTTATGTACATTTTAGGCTTCATGATGTCACTATCCAGGGAGGAAGCTCGTGTATGCTAGTCCCTATCAGTCGTTTGTTGTAGTCCTTAAAAAGCGATTTCTGTAAAAGAAAATATCTCATTTTTGCTTTGAACTTGTCTTTGAGTGTTGTAACTTTGCAGATGTTGTTTATGCTCAAACAGCAACATTACACACTATTAAAGTTAGAAAAGTGAAATCATAACCACCCCTTTTGTTTCCACATAATATTTTGTTTCCAAAGATAAAGAATAATCTTTTATATTGTCAAATACTTTCAAAATAATAAAAAGTAATAACAATTCAATGATTTGTTGCTAGTCTTTAAAAAGGCAAACGAAAATGAAAAATGAAACAGCAAATTAAATTCAATAAACGTTAAAAATTATTTTAACACAAATTTGTTAAAATACAAATTTATGCCAAATTAAATGTAATAAAGGCCATTTAAACAGTGTTATTTTAGTATCATTGAGGCACTATTGTAGTTTTTATTAACAAATTAATATAAATTAATTAATATTTATTTTCATATGTTCTGGTTTCATTAAAATTTTAGTGAAAGTTTTAGTAATTTTGTTGTATCTTTAAAAAATTTTTATTATGTTTTTAAAAAATGTCTATATAGTTTTTATTCATTTTTATTTCAGGTTTAGTTACTTAAAGCTGCAGTCCGTAGCTTTTCCTCTTTGTCGCCATCTCTCTGTTCGAAATCTGTAACTGCAGTGATTCGCGGAATTATCATCTTTACGTGGGTTGTAAATCGGCATGAAACAGCGCGGATGAACACAGTGCTTTGAGGCGAGTGGTGCTGTCAGTCACCGCGCTGTGTGGATACTGTCATACAGAATCACAGATTCACTTTTTGAAAGTTTGACCAACATAAGAATTTTCATAAGAAAATGTCTTCTGAACAAGTAAGTAAAATCCATTTTTGTTCTGACCAACTAAGGGGGAAAAAGCATTTGACATGATAAGCTTCGTTAGATTTAATCAACGCGATTTACAGCAACCGTGCAAATTATAGCCTACTTTGTTCTCAAATTGTTCATGTTAACAACATCAGCATTGCGTGACTAATGTTAAATTTAATGTGTTTTATGGTTACCTGTGTAGTTCAGAATTCATATTCTCCATTATAGCAAAACGAGAAAGGCACAACAAAGGAAACTCCATAACTGTGTGAATTAAGAAAACGTACTGTTACACGATTGAACTATTGAAATGTCTTACTTGTTCAGCAGAAAAAAGCCGTCTCTTCTTCCGTTTTGAACCCCTTCAAAACACGGAGTTCACGCACTTTTCAAAAGCCCCGCCGATGTTTAAATCCTTGTGTTCGCATGAGACGGTTTCTTTCTCTTTCTCTAGCCACCTTAAATCCGAAGTACGAAGTCTTTTGGGTTTTATAACTGCTGAATCTCCAGTTGACACTGATGATTGTTGTTTGGATCTTTCTGGATGCCATAAGTTTAATTATGTAAAGTGCTGCGAGAAAAGCCTATACATCTAAACATCTCGTCACGCGCAGTATAGCCGGCTAGCCGAAACTCCTTCTTTATGTGTACGGGTGTGACGTCATGACGCAAAAACATGCTCGAATTTCCCGCGGAAACAGTACCACTGGAATTAAAATCATTATTACAAGCTAACCGTTTTGAATCTAGTTATGGCAAGCAGATAGTTTTGACCACTGGCAGAATAAGTTTTTTTTAATATAATTATATTGGATTATTTTTAACTTAAAAAAGTTACGGACTGGAGCTTTAAGTTAAACTAAACTGATTTTCTTTTTTTATATATTTTATTTTATTTTATTTCAGTTAATGTTCCTTTTTTAAAGAAACTAATTTATTTGTATGGTTTTGGTTTAAGTTTTATTTAACTAACATTGATTTAAAGATATGAGTACAAGGGCTTTGGGTAAAGGATGATTGAGATCATTGGGTATGCGCTTTAAATAAGACTTTAAATAATGCTCATCTTTAACAACAGAAACAGGCTGGTTGCATAAGTATTGTCCATACTGTTTGGCATATGGCGATATTTCACTGTAGTGAGTTTGCAACGGACCAAAAACAAAGAAAGAAATCACTCAACCGTGTAAACAGATTATTCATGCTTTTCATTAAACATCTGTCATCTGAAAGATTTCTGAAAGAATTATATAATGTGTCATTATATACACACTTGCATGTGTTTTTTCTGAGAAAAACTTTTATAATCTTGTCTTTCTTTTTCTCCAAACAAAACAGAATGTCACAGATTTAGTCTTGAAAAACGTACATGGAACTGAAAAAAACATTTAAAGAGAATAAAAAATCTTGCTGTGAAATCTTGAGTTGATAATACGATAGGCCTATCCTTATTTTTCCTTGGAAGCTTATTGTGGTAGCAGATAACTCAAAGCCAAAACAAAGATGTAAATTTTATCACATTCCACAACAAACAGATTCTACAGAAATCCATGAGCCTTTATGGTTGGCCATGTTTACACTGGCACACAAAAAAAGAGAGTTTTTTTTACTCTCATCTGACACAGATCAGAATTTGTTGCACATGTATAACACAAAAATCTCGCATCCGTTCTTTGCCACTTAAATCTACACTCACCTAAAGGATTATTAGGAACAACATACTAATACTGTGTTTGACCCCCTTTCGCCTTCAGAACTGCCTTAATTCTACGTGGCATTGATTCAACAAGGAGCTGAAAGCATTCTTTAGAAATGTTGGCCCATATTGATAGGATAGCATCTTGCAGCTGATGGAGATTTGTGGGATGCACATCCAGGGCACAAAGCTCCCGTTCTACCACATCCCAAAGATGCTCTATTGGGTTGAGATCTGGTGACTGTGGGGGCCATTTTAGTACAGTGAACTCATTGTCATGTTCAAGAAACCAATTTGAAATGATTCGAGCTTTGTGACATGGTGCATTATCCTGCTGGAAGTAGCCATCAGAGGATGGGTACATGGTGGCCATAAAGGGATGGACATGGTCAGAAATAATGCTCAGGTAGGCCGTGGCATTTAAACGATGCCCAATTGGCACTAAGGGGCCTAAAGTGTGCCAAGAAAACATCCCCCACACCATTACACCACCACCACCAGCCTGCACAGTGGTAACAAGGCATGATCGGTTGCCATGTTCTCATTCTGTTTACGCCAAATTCTGACTCTACCATCTGAATGTCTCAACAGAAATCGAGACTCATCAGACCAGGCAACATTTTTCCAGTCTTCAACTGTCCAATTTTGGTGAGCTCTTGCGAATTGTAGCCTCTTTTTCCTATTTGTAGTGGAGATGAGTGGTACCCGGTGGGGTCTTCTGCTGTTGTAGCCCATCCACCTCAAGGTTGTGCGTGTTGTGGCTTCACAAATGCTTTGCTGCATACCTCGGTTGTAACGAGTGGTTATTTCAGTCAAAGTTGCTCTTCTATCAGCTTGAATCAGTCGGCCCATTCTCCTCTGACCTCTAGCATCAACAAGGCATTTTCGCCCACAGGACTGCCGCATACTGGATGTTTTTCCCTTTTCACACCATTCTTTGTAAACCCTAGAAATGGTTGTGCGTGAAAATCCCAGTAACTGAGCAGATTGTGAAATACTCAGCCCGGCCCGTCTGGCACCAACAACCATGCCACGCTCAAAATTGCTTAAATCACCTTTCTTTCCCATTCTGACATTCAGTTTGGAGTTCAGGAGATTGTCTTGACCAGGACCACACCCCTAAATGCATTGAAAAAACTGCCATAATTTGGTTGATTAGTTAATGGCATTAATGAGAAATTAATGCCATTAATTAATGTCATAATTAATGCCTGGTCAAGACAATCTCCTGGCAAATTATTAATAATCATTTGCCAGCATGGCAATGAGAAGATGCGAACCTGACATTATAAAATACATGATGCGGAGTGCCTGCATCACGGGCTAATTTGAGTTACAAATCGCCACGAGCCTCCTTCAGCATCTCCCTCATGAGTCATGGCCACCTAAAGTGAATGTAAGCCCGTTTATCGGTCCAAGTGGGGGTTTCCGATAAGACGGGTGAATGTCTCTGCATGCGTGTTACTGTCTTTCCGAGTGGCAAAGTAATTAAATTCCATTTAAGCTTTTATCTGACTCCATTTTATCACGACCTCGAATTTAAGTTAGATTGCCAATTGGTTATTGGTCAATTATATAATAGTTTAGCAATAGGCTACATTTGATTGTTCTATTTTCTTTACTTATATTTTACCCGTTCATATCCGTCTATGTCACTCAGAGGTCCTCACGCCTTGTTTAACGTGGGTCTCATGATCACAATCTCGCCAGCTTCGGTCACTAAACAGAGGTAATTGCTATATACCTGAGATCGGTCGCATTCACGCTTACAAAGATACTTTGGTATAGCCCCCGTGATTGCATACACCTGAAATTAAAGCAACGTTTACTTCAGTAAATGGCCACTACAGATAGGCCTAAGTCAACCAACTTTACTTGTAATAGCTTTGGATTGGCCATGCCGTGGTTTCCCACGTACACTTATCTAAGGTAACATTAAATTTAAAAAGGTAAGACACACCCAGATTTAGGTTGGTCAAGCAGCACTTTTGCTGCCCTAAACGGAATTAGTGCCAAATATTAGTCGTCACTAATCTGATGCAAAACTTGCGGTAACATACGAATCCATTTAAACTACTTGGGAAAACAATTTCAGAGTCAGTCGGAATAATATCAAATGTACCGATTTATTAAGTCAGGTAAATGTATCATGCCAATTTCATAATCAGTTCAAAGATAATAAATACAAAACATCAAATGCTCTGGAATAAAGAGAAAAGATGCAAACCTGACATTATAAAATACATGATGCGGAGTGCCTGCATCACGGGCTAATTTAAGTTACAAATCGCCACGAGCCTCCTTCAGCATCTCCCTAAATACTCAGACCCAGGCAGAAACCTCTTTTCAAATGTAAACATGAGTTCACAGTGGGAATTTGCATTAATCACCGTCTCAGACTTACTGGACAGAAGTTGATTTACATGAGGGCACACCCACAGCAGTTAACAAGATATCTCTAAACCTTATTACCTTTTTTGTTTTACTTTTGTGAGAATGATACTTTTGTACCAGTCGCACTGAGACATTTCAAATGATACCAAACATGTATAATACTGTATGATAATTGTTCATATTCAACCATATCGTTTTTTGGGTGAATTCAGGTAGGGGTGGGTGAAGGGAATGATGTGTAAATTGGGAGGTGATCAATTCAAGTGTGATCGTGTCTCGAATGGGGATGGTAATATAGCAAGAGAGTTCAAATGTTCATTTCCTTTGTTTTCTCAGAGAGTAGCCCTAGCCCTCTCTTAAAGTTCTTCCAGTTTCTCCAGTCTTACAGCCACCTAAAGTGAATTATAAAATAATTTTAGTAAAGCATTATAATAAAGCGATCAGTAAAGCAGGGATTACAGATTAAGGGTATGGATATTTGACTATATCTGAATCAAAAATTCAGATATAGTCAAAAGATACGATCTGTGCATTAATACTTGCAGTGCAGTGTAAACGCAGGCACGTAACTCACCAGTCTCGCGTTTGCTGCTGCTTTACAGGCCTCATATTTATATATAGGTCAAACAGATAACTGCTAATTTGACGCTGTGACAGTTGATCTGAAATCAAACAAAAAATTTACTCACAGTTTCAGTAAAGAGTGTAAATAGTTTCACTACACCCATGCAATCCTGTTTGCACAGAAACGGTGGATTAAGCTTTGACATGTTTTGACAAGTCTTGCAAAGCTTTCACAATTAAAATGTTATTGCTTAAATTGACAGTTCTAACTTAAGGCTAATTTCCATGTTTACAATCTCTTGAGAAGATCTTAATAAACGTAACTTCCCATACACTGTAAATTATTATTTTTTTTTTTTTTATTTTTTACAGTGTATGAATAGTATAGTCAATTTACATTTCAAAGTAAAAAGAGTTATACTGGATAAAAACAACTAGGATAAACAATGTTTTAAAATAAATATAACTCATATAAAATATTGTAATATTATAAAGTATTATTAATTTTTTTTCTATTTTAATATATTTAAAAATGTAACTTATTTCTGTGATGGCAAAGCTGGATTTTCATCAGCCATTACTCCAGTCTTCAGTGTCACATAATCCTTTATGAAGGAATTTCTGCAGAAATCATTCCTATATTGACAAATTAATAATGCTATTTTAACATTATAATATGGAAAAAAATTCATAACTGTACTTTAAATTGAAATAAGTCTCATATTCATTCTTTACCATTCTTTACATTTTTCTGTTTCTTTGGTGTGTTATATGTTTTTAATTGAGAGAAGTATACGGAGAAAAAAAAAAGAAATGGTCAATATTCACTTTTTCTGGTAATAAGACACTTTTATTGATTTTACTGGTTTGGACCAACATGCTAGATTTCTATACAGTGTGAATGGTAAAGCTAGCTCTGAATCAATCAGGCTTGCTCCACTGAGCTAAAACATATACACAGGGAATGGTTGCACCCTTAAAAGCATAACTCAACTCACGCACAGACATTCACCCAAGGCTGATGTAGCGTTGTGTCGATCACAATTACTACTGATATTACAGGTACACTTATGATATGATTCCATCCAGGGGGGCATATTTGCACCCTATTCAATTCAAATGAGAACTTCCTTTCAGAAGTGAATAAAACAAAATGTAAACAAAACTTCATAAGTCATTAAACAACCAATAAATACCCCCATTCAGCTTACGTTAAGTGACGTCCTTCTGTACCTGAGAAGGCGTTGGCACAGACAAATCTGATTTTCCCTTTAAATTTCCAAAGTATCCATAAACAGAAAGCAAAGGATTTTATGAGTCAGTGCTGAATGAGTCAGTCAATTACAGTGTAGTTCACCGTACTCCAACTAAAAGCTGCTGGATTGAATAAGGATAAACTGGCATTTTAACATTTCACTTGCTTTCTGACACTTTTTGTCATGTGCTCATACTCATATTCTTCTACGGTACAAATAGCTAGACATCACTTTTATCTGGCGGTATGTGAAGCAACTTTACAAATTTATCTGTACAGTGACCCTCGAGAGATTTACGCTACAGTTTGAACTCTAAAGTGGTTTCAAAGACAGACATTTGACAGCAATTTTGAAACATTTACATCTTTCTTTCTTGAAAAAGTGCATTAAGGATTCACATGAAATACATTTCAAATAAATTGATATAGCCTACTACACAATGTGTCTCCTCCTGGTCAGTGCACTACAATTTACTGGCCCAAAGAGCAGCTGTAGACATGAGTGGGTTCCTACACAAGGCAAACACTATAATGCTGCATAATGCTAATTCTTAAAAGTGAACTATAGTTATTTTTGGAGGAACGTCCCATCTTTGCATTTCTGATATTAAAGCCAGTTTGAAAATGGCAGCTGATATATTTACAATAGAATTGGACCGTTTGATCAATCAGCGTGGAAATTGCTAGCGTGCAAACGAATTATTCCAATCAATTAAACATGAATAAACCAAGTTTAGTTGTGCATGATTTGCTCTTCTGTCACGTTCTTCCGACTATCTGCAATACGCTATGAATGTCCTAAGAAGAGAAACATTCTTCAGAAGAAAGGGGATCCTTCCTTATTATCCGTTTGTTTGCACAAGCTGTTTGCTTTCATTGCGAACAGGATATTATAATGAAAACAATGCTGTAAACATTCAATAAATTGTGTAATTAAAACATGAACTGTACATAAACAGTTGGGGGAAAAATCACACAGAATGTGGCAAGGTTTCAGGGGATCTGAAATGACACATTTTCACAAAAACACAGACAAAAAACCTGCCCTGAAACTTAAAATGTATGCGTCACAAAAAAGAAAAGAAAAAAAAAGTTAAAACAAGTTGATTTAATGAATTGCGTTGAGTCACAAAAAAAGTATGCATTCACATAATCTTGTGCACAGTAGCCAGCAAGATTGAGATGATACTTTTAAAAATAGCTAACATGCATGTTTGCCGTATTTTCTGGGTTATTTGTTGTTTGAATTTCCCTCTTGCTTTTGAACTCTTTGCCCTAATCCAGCTTTTTATGGCAAAATTATAGAATTTCTTGTCTGCATCTGATTTAGTCCTCATCCTTGTATACAAAAATACAAAACAAAGAGAAAAAACCTACGTCTCTACATTTTCAAAAAGTATACATGTTAGACATAGTCGACATTTTTGTTGATTTTTGCCCTTTACTTTTCGAATTTTTAGGATTTTTGGCAATTTTGTTACTAAAGTATACTATTTTACAATTGAAACTGATATAACACTGATTCCAACCAGTGACTAAAAGTCAGATGGGAAGGCCAAATATCCAATCTGAAAACACAACTGGAAGCTAACCAAGAGGAAGCAACACAACAAGCATGTGGTGTAGTTGATGATGCTGTAAATCAGATGTGAGCTATTAACAGGAACAGCCGCCCTCAGTAGTTGGAGGTTCCTGTGGTTTGTCCAATTTAATGTCAATCACTGGAGAATGCTGTTAAGGAATAAAAACTTCAAGAATTTACATCAAACATAAATGTAAATGGGGAGAAAATAATCCAACCATATAAGATGACAGGAAATTATATTTCTTTTGAATGCAACATTTTTTTGTGTAACTTGAAAATATGCCTCACTACTGACCTCTCCAGGTATTAGGAGTAATTGCAGCCATAAATGCTGCAGTATAGGATATGTTTGACAAACGGCATCTCCTGTGTACAAAGGGCTTTAGGAAAAACGATGTTTTCTTTGTTATGTTACGCTATTTTAGCAGATAAGAGCTACATATTTTGACAGCACTTATATTTCCCCGCTTTTTTCATTTTATTTACTGTGAGCTGACGTCCATCAGCAAAAAGAGAACGGGTGCCATCTAGTGGTCGTTATCGGAAATCCAAAACAAAGCTCATAGCTTTTTTTTTGCGAAGTCTCTTTCCTTGCCAACATAAAACATAATCTCATTCAAATGAATGTTAACTGGTGTCCCTGAGAGATGTGTTGTTGTAGTGGGGCTTTTATGCTTGTTCAGTCACACCAGCTGCTCATGGCTGTGGCCGACTCTCTCAAATGCAATGGGCTCGCCTCGAAGTGAGTAGTTTGATGTGTGTGTGTGTGTGTGTGTGTGTGTGTGTAGTTTGGTTAATAGCGTCCTTGTAAAATTATATTTTTAATTAATTTCACTAAATCTGTCACATATGTTTCATGAAAATAGTCTACTTAAAATATACAAATAAATGCTTTGTGAAAGCAAAGTGAGTAGGCTACATAGATATCATAATGTTTAATGCCACTATGAAATCAAAATGGACAATTCTTTTTTGTTGTTGAATATTGCAGGGTTTTTATAGGAAATACACACAAAAAACTATATGCTGTTGGGATGATACATCATATTACATCAGATTAATTTGAACTTATTTTTAATGTGTCCTGAAAGTGAATCATTCCAGTTAGAGTTTAGTTTTATAACAAAAACAAAGTTATAACTGAAGGAAACCTATTGGCCTTGTTTAGGAGTGAGGGGTTTGCATATTGCATACTGTCAGGCCAGATGATCAGATCACCTTTCAAGCTCTAACATTCTCTTCAAATTATAACACAGCTGTATTTATGGAAATTATCAAAAGTACCACTACTCCAATCCAATGCAATGCCTCCCTGTGCTATTATGACTGCACACATGCAAACATACACACTTTGCAGAGAGCACACAATAAACACATCCTGCACATCTACCAGTCACACAAAACAAACAGAGAGAGGACACTTTGTCATTCAAACTTACTGGATATAAAATCTATCCTATTCCGCTGCCAACCTATTCACACAGATGAAGAGAAAAATGTTTTTTGTTACCATAGCAATAGACTTTCCGCTGCCACTAATAAGTGACTGAATGTGGCAGAAAATGTAATGAGAGGAAAATAAATTAGCCTCAGAGTGAAGCAAGGCCAATATTTGAATTTCATGGTGGAAATTACATGAATGATGAAAATCAAGAAGTATATTATTACCCACCAAAACCTAACCTCGGTAAATGAGACTTTACACTGTCAAAAAAATAAAGAAATGAAAAAAGGCAAGATAAATTAATAGTAGCCTACTATCAACTGACAGCTGCAATACAGATCTATTGGATCACTCAGAATACTACAGCATTATGCTGATGAACAGCTGTTGTACAATGACCACTGCATACTTTCATTACTCTGGAACTTTCTAATATCAACTTTTAAAAGGAAGGTGACAACACAACACAATATTTTGCTATTGATGTCAAAGGCTGTACATCCCATCAAACTACAGTATTTTTCACGCAGAAGCTAGACAAACTAGGTAGACGTCAACATGGACAGGTTGTATTACATGCACTTGTTCTCAAAAGCTATTACCAAAACTATGCGCATTAAAGTCACCATTAAATCATGGAAGAATGAAAGAATGGACAAATATTTTTTTCAATGGAATATTTGAGTGTTTATTATTAATGATTCATCCGTGCACATCATTATTTTTTTAACTGGTGTGTCCTCGTAATCTTTAATCAAAATAACTTCCCCTCCCTCTTTCAACAACATCTCTTCTCTGATGACGCGTTTACTGGTTCGAGGGTGGGACAACCTGTCACTCACATGAGATCACAGCAACCTGGACTATTAAATACGTTGCAAAAAAAGCCCTATTCAGAAGGGACAAGTTCTTTAAACAATGTTTGAGTTACAATTCGTATCATTCAACGTCTGTGATTTCATGTACCAATTCGGACGGGACTAACATCCCAGTGTTTCCGTGATTTGGCTCTATTTATTAATTTTATAATGTTATTTTCGGATGCTTAATACAAATAACAAAATTCAAATAACTGTAACTTTGTTTGTAGTTAGACAAAAAAAAAATTGGTAGGTTAACTTTTAATTGTAAGGGTAAGACATATTTTGTTTTTGATGTCAGAGGCAAACATTTCTGTGCAAATGTATCTGTCATATGGTAGAAACAGCCGAACTAGACAAACGCAAATGGGCAAATGGGTTTTGACACACCTCGATCCTCAAAAATCATACACAAAACTATGCAACACAAAACTAATTTGGAAAGATTTTGCTTAACAGACTTTTAAGAATAATATTATGATTTTTCAGTCGCTTTTTAAGTAAAGTAAAACAACAAAATGTGGCAAGTCTTATCCATTTGTGTGTATGTGCTATTTTGGTCTATTTTTCACCCACAATGTTGATTGTTTTTTAGTGACTTTAATCACATGAAATTGACATGAAATAAAAGTAACAGGTTTCTGGTTTGGGGTTGTGGGAGTACATAAGACAAAAAGAGTAGGGAAACATTGCCCTAGAGGTCATATGTTATAGTACTGAAACAAAGCCAATCAGTTTTTCGGATTGAATGTTAGAATGCAGCAGAGTAACCTGATTACAGAAATTCGTTCTGAATTGTTGAATTGTTTTTGTTTTGAGCTCACTGAAAGGATACTGCCTTCTTTGCTTGTCTCCTGCATGCTCTCCATTCCTGGAAGGGCAGCTGCCACGCGTCGAAACAGCTGTGGGAGAGAAGAGAAGACACGGTTAGAGATTTTAGCTGTGTTGGTTTCAGTTGGTTCATGTGAATTGGGTAATGGATTCCCCTAAATATCACGAATCTATCTTCAACGATTCGAAACCTTGAGCTTAGTTTTTTTTTTTTTTTTTTTTTTTTTGCAAATATGCGAACTGGCACTTGTGTGCTATTGATACAACCGCATTCTGCTTGCAGCCAATTAAACACAAACACACACAAAACCACTGAACAACTGCATAAACATGCCTAAGGTTTCATGGTTGAAGCAAAATACAAGGGCAATTGCAGGCTTCACCCTACATGATTCTCATGGGCGTTTGCGGCATACGCCTGTGCATGACTCAATGTAAGTGATTAAATGCACTAACATCCCCAAATGCTTTTCTAATGTGAAATTAATGTAAACAGTAATGTTTCAACTCAGTTATCTCTTAAGAACAGGACAAAACATGTATTAATATGTAAAAATTGATCTGTGCATAAGTGAATGCAGCCAATTAGACCCGCGGCTGTCAAAAATTTCAGAACAAAATTGTAGATTTAGAATCGGATTGTGATTTCCATAATCACAATTTGGATCGGATCGTGAGGTGCCTAAAGACCCCCACCCCTAGTTTGAAAGGGCCTTCTGTGTGAGCTGTGCTTCATACTGTACATCTACACTATTGAAAACTGACCTGTCTGAATGCAGCATTTCACCAAAAGTTTGCTATTGCAAACTGCAGCTTAAATCATATCAGCAGTATTCAGTATTTTCTTTTATCAGAGCATAATTTACCTGGAGTCAAAAATACTCAAAATAGTCTAGCGACCACCACTGTCATACTGTACAGCTTTCTGGCAGAAAATATGATCTGAACAATTTTTCAACCAGTAAAAAGGGACTTGGAGCAAAGTGGACTTTCTCATGTGTATTGAAGCAGACCTGTCCTGTAATATACTGTATATATTAATAGAAATGAAGATCCCATGCAACCAGTTCTTTTCAGAATCATAAATGTCACCGACTAAAACACCTGCTGACCTTTAAAGTGGACTCTGTGTAGAAGATGAGAAAGGAACAGCAAAAAGCACTTAGCCTGGTTCTGCCTTCTGAAACGTGCAATGCATTGCTAGCGTCCCGCTCATGGCAGGGCAATTAATGGCCCACCACACACCTCCATTACAGCCATCCTCTAGAAAGGGCCGTTCCCAGAAGCTATATGAGGCTATACAGCAATGATAAATAGCCTCACTCACTCCCAATCATACCAAACAGGGCAGTTAGCTTATGTAGCCAACACCACCCCTCTCATTTCATGTCTTCAATCACAATAGACAAGCCATGGGGAAATGGAGCACACTGGACCATTAGGCAGAGAGGGTCAGAAAAAAACACTCATTTTGTTAACTACCTTCAGGCCATTGTTTTTGACAGGAGAGAGTCATAAAAATGTTTTAATGTAGCTGGGACAAAAACAAAGGCACACAAAACCATTCCATTTAAGAAAGACAGAGACAGACCCTGTACCAAATAGAGCACTTAATGTTGACTTACAGGCTTCATGCATCTGTGAACTCATACAAGATCATACGGTGTCACATTTTTCATTTTACGTTTCAGAAGGGTGAACACGAGTTCCCGGTTTGTGGCTGCTAGCATAAGAGTTAGCTAACATATTTTTTAGCTACTGTTGCTACTGTCTCTTGTTGTTCCAAACCTGTAGGCATTAACAACACTTCTCAAAATATCGTATTTAATGTTCCACATTCAATCTTACAGGTTCGGAATGACATGAGAATAAGAACATGATGACAGAATTTACATTTTTGTACCATCCCTTTATGCACAAATGTTTGACAGCTCAGTGTCACAATCAAGTCTTTTAGAGGTGTAAAAATAGACAACATTCTAGAAATCCATTGACCTTTACTGTTTTTAAATAGAGCTAGTTATAAATACTACAACACCAGCTTGAAAATCCAAACAGAAATATTGTTGCATTTTTACAATTTAAAAACAAAACAGCTGTAGAACTGTAGAAGAAAATGAATTGCTTTATTATACACCAAAGCACAAACTTCCTATTCTTAAAAATTATAGCAATGAAAGACTGTTAAACAGCAAATTACTCTATAATTATTATCCAAACATGTTTAATATTGTATTATTTACACAAGAGTTCAATTTTATCCTGGAAAGAACTTGACACCCTGCAATTCTTCAATCAATATTTGAGTCATTATTTTGCAATTACCTCTGCGAGGTAATCAGTTTAACTAATGTTGCTGTTATTGGAGAAATAAATAAGAAAATTTTAGTATTGATCGTAATCTCAGATGAATGCAGCTCCCTGCTGTAGATCTCACATAATCAAACGTGCAAACAAACATGTGCTCCAGTCAGCCACACACACATACAATGTAAAGGCTTGGAAATGATCTCAATTTGTAATGGAGACTGGAACAAGTCAGCTCCACATCTGGTGCCAATAACATGTTGTGTCAGAGATTTAGTCTCTTTTAGTGTTGTACTGTCAGTGCTGAGCTCCTGTGAAACAGTGATACATGGCTTTAAGAAGAATGAAGGCTCAGTGTCCAATACAGCTGATGGAACAATGCACAATAATATAACTCACTCGTAGTTTTGAAGAATGACAGTATAAGCCTCATATTCAAGTTTCAAACTGTAATTGTAAAATGGAGAGACTCTAAATTCTGATTGGATGACTTGTATTCCAACCGATCACACTAAATGCGTCTCTATAGCACGCAGTGTGTTTATCGTGTAATTTATACGCAAAAATGAGTTTTTACGTGCATAGGATACGCATGGGTTGGTTAGGGTAGGTTTAGTAGTGGTGTGGGGTGTGTGTGTATTATACGTTTGGGTAGAATTAGTGGTGTGGGGTGCGTGTGTATTATACGCAAATGAACTGCGTATCAAATGCACACGAAAACTGCGTATCATATGCACGTAAAAACTCATTTTCGCGTATAAATTGCACGATAATACACAATGCGTGCTATAGAGACGCATTTAGGTGAGAACAGGCTGCAACAGTTTTGCAGTAAAAAACACACACCATGGCTATACATTCAATATGAATGCACAATAGAAGTAGTTCAATATTAGTACAATGCAGTAAAAGTTAGGATTACTGCCAACCTGTCTTAAATACCCAAATGTAAGATGCTTACTGAATTTATTGGGTTTTTACCTGCCTTTTGAATTTTGGCGTGGGATTTCATTGCACGTATTGCGCATAATTTGACTCATTCCCGCAGATTTTGTGCTCACACACAAAGTGTGCTCATAAATGCACCTCTCAGTACTAAATTGAGTTCTTTTTCGCTGCTTATTGCGCTTAAACAGTCAAAATACACACAAAATAATGTAAATGCCATTCTTCGCAAGTATTCACATAAACACAGTCAGGTATGTTTTAAGTGAATATAAACAGTTGAGAAAGAAAACGCATGTGTAGTATATTTATTATTATGTTTTTACCATGATTAACACAAAAACTCACATTATATGTGCATAATTGTAACTCTTTATTGAACTTTGCTATCTATTATCAAAGTGCAGGGGTTTTCAAACTTTTCAAACTCCAGAGGGCCACAAGAGGGTGCTATGAGGAGTGTGGAAAAAAATGACATCATTTTTTTTTAAAGATGCTTTCAATGAATATTTAATATTTTTCATATTTACTGAAATATTTTTTTAATGACATATTTATTTATTTAAGGAAAAACAAGTTTCCGTTTTTATTAACACAATCATTGTTTCAATTTGCTAATTAGAATTTTACTTCTTTTTTTGGTCATCATGTCAGACATCCCTTCCTGCACTAAAATCACTTTAATGCAGTGCATTGTAACAGACTTTAATTAGTGTCTTTCTGATTTATTTTAAAGATTGTTGAAATTAAAAAATCTCATAAAAATAAAATGTGATCTTCTCTTTATCACAAAATACAATAAGAACTTTTGTACTTGACATGACACTTGACAAAAAGATGCAAAGCTTGATCATTCTAACAGAAGAGAGACAAAACGACTATCACAGTCTGTGATCTAGTCAGACAGAGCTGATGCTAACACACAAACACACACACCTTAGCCCACAAAACACACACAGTGTGCTGTACGCACTTCCGGCTCTCAGAGAGAGAGAGAGAGAGAGAGAGAGAGAACACAGCAGTGCTCTGCGTCACATCTGATCTCTCCCACCTCGGCGCTTAGTCATCCTGAATTATGCTTTCAACTGCACCTCAGAAGAGAAATCCGAAAGAATGAGAGCGTTTCTCACAGCCACACACACTGTGCCCGCTCTTTCCGCTGACAGAACAAGGTGGCGAGGTAAAACGTACCTGTTTGACGTTGTAGCCCGTTTTGGCACTGGTCTCGATAAACATCACACTCAGCTCTTTGGCCCGCTGCTCGCCTTCCTCAATCGTGATTTGCCTGTGAAAAGGTTGAAGATTTTAATGCATTTATAGTTGAATTAGTTAAATAAGTTTATTTATAAAATATTATTGAACTGTGATGACCCCTGATGAAAAAACATGAATTTCTATGCTGGTTTGGTGCTGGTCTGGATGCTGGACCAGCATAGCCATACTGATCAGCAGCAAAAAAAAAAAAAAAAATGCTGGTCAACTTGATAAAGCTGGTTGAGAAAGGTGATCTTGCTGGTTAAGCTTATCAGGAAGCATAGTTGGGATCGAGGTCCAGCTGGTACTGTAGATGTCGTAACCATTTTGCATTCATAAACAGCATTCTTATGAAATAATTTTTATAGTATAGTATGCAATTAGAATGTAGATATTTTATACAGCAGTGGTTCTCAACCTTTTTGACCCCCAACTGTCCACAAAAATATTTAACGGTCCCATGATGCACATGTATATCAGAACAGCCATTAAGATAAATAGGAAAGGGCTAAAGTATACTTTCTCCAGGCCTCCATGGTGGGGACACCAGCATCAAAAACACAACGCTTGCTGGTGACCAGCTATACTGGTCCTGGCCGGAGGGATTCCAGGAAGAACAATAGCGAAGAAACGGAGGCTACATTTCCAGGACTACACATGAAGGCAAATAATCATTCTGCCAATAATGGCAACCAATATCACGAAACTGGCCAGCCCTGACAGTAGCCCAACAAGATTTATGAAAACGGCAATAATGGAAATGTGGTATTTGATAAAGTGGTTAGAGGGTCACAGATTATGGGTGAAGTATTATCAGACAGCACAGGCTCTGAGACAACAGCATCAGTCATTGCCTCCCTCACTCATCTACTAACTCTAATTAATTGATGTTGAAACTGATTAATTGCACAAAGGGAAGGCCCATTAATTAAGCCTCATTTGTATGACACACTTGTGACATTAATCCATGTCTATGGCTCTGAAGCATGTTGGTGTGTGTATGTGACAGAGTTTGTGAGGGGGTTGAGAGAAATGAGTATGAAGAGGAGACTAGCTGTATCTTAGAGCTGGGGGACGTGAATAGGACATGCTGTATTTAAGCCACTGAGCTCTGTCTGCTGGGACAGCAGTGATGTAACCACCCAAACTCCTTTGTTCTCTCCACAGACAGGAGCCCAGAGACATACGTGAGTTTATTTAACTCGTGAATTGCATTCCTGACTCACTGCTTCTCAAAGAATACAGCTTATCTTATGTAAATGGTGCCATTTGTGCCCCTAAGACATATCATTTAAATGAAACTTAATTGCATTAGTTGATTAGATTTAATGTGATTTAGTGTGTGATTCAAAAAGTAAATTATAAAATGATTCCAAAATGTTTTCCATCTAAATATCAGCCATTTTGCATAACCCCGCTATAACATTACATTTGTGCTTTTGAAGTTTCTATTCATCAAAGAATCCTGAAAAGAAATGTATCTCAGATTCCACAAAAATATTAATCAGCACAACCATTTTCAACATTGATAATAAGAAATGTTTCTTGAGCACCAAATCAGCAGTATTATAATGATTTATGAAGGCACTGAATACTGGAGTAATGATGCTGAAAGTTCAGCTTTGCCATCACAGAAATAAATTACATTTTAAAATATATTAATACCGTTATTTTAAATTTTTGTAATAATTTAAAATAGGCTACATAAATTAACTGTTTGATATCACACACACTTAATTTATAATACTTGTAAGAACTAAGCGTGTGTGATACTTTAATAAATAAGCGTGCGTGAATCTTTAAGAAAGACACACACACACGCACACATTATATGTATGATAGTCACTAGAAGAATTTTAGAAATTAATCTTTTCAAATTATAACAAATGTGACCGGATTGAAATATTTACCAGGGATAATAAACAACTGTTGCTATACTGTACAGTACTGAATATTTAGGATTGGGGTAATAGTTTTGGAATCATTGACAATCCATATTTGTTGAACACTAATCTGAATATTATCACTTCATAATTGAAATCCATGAATGTGACACAATAGCTGGGTTTCCACCCAAACGTGAAGCAAATTAGGTGCATTTCCATCAAGTAGTTCAAGCAGATGACGGTGGTATGGTTACTTAGTAACCAACACTCATTTCTGATGTGATACTTCAAAATGCACATAAAAACAGGGTGATGGAAATATAGCTAATGAGAAGGATTTCACGCCACCCATTGCTCAGTAATTTCATATACTACCAGCTACATTTACAACACTAATTTGATCATTAAGGATATGCCACTGTGAGTTCCTTCCATTTCAGAGTCTCAGAGATTGCATGGTCTCTTCAGAGATGCAGTCCTCAATTTCCAATTCAGGTTTATGGCATATCTATGAAGGGTTTTCAAAGCTACACAATTAAAGTACTGAACTGAAAGAATCAGATATGGTTTGATGTAGCTTTGTTTCATGATCATAGTCCACCCAAACTGCGCAGATATGCTTCCGCGCCCCTTTCTTGTCTATTAAAGAGTGTGCTTTAAACTGCTTTTCACTTTTCAATTGAAACCCTCAGGGAAGGCAAAGGGTGAAAGCAAAAAAAAAGTGATGAAACATAACAGACATCATTTTTCTTTATATCTAAATAAAATAAGTGACTTGAGAAAACCAAAAGGACTCCAAACCTGACCCTGAATCCATCGCTGGCTGATGACTGTGCTTTTGAAGTTTTACAGTATGCCACAAACTAAATATTTTGATATTCATGTCACGAAAAGAAAGATGAAATTAAGCAGAAGTTATAAATGTTGATGGAGCAGATTGTCTGGTCAGCTTAAATTTCCTGCCTTCTCTGGTGCATCTTCCGGTCATAAATGTTTTATCAGGTGCTATCTTAAGCTCAGAAACAGCACACACAGGTTTAGCACGTGTCTGCCTTTATTCATAAAGCTGTTGTGATTACATTCAGGAGTTTTAAAGTACATTCATTCTATCAAACCCTCTGAAATGGTGAATATTTTGTTAAATCTCGGTCATTCTTTTCTGTCATATTGACCTTGAAATTTGATTACCTGTGCTTTTCCACACAACATATTTTCTTTTTTTCTATTTTCTTTCAAGTGGATATTAAATTTGTGTTTGACATTTTAGATGGATGTATATACTAGGTTGGGCTGAATGTGTCTTTTTGTTTGGTATTGGCTCAAGGGTATGTAATCTCAGCTGACATCATGTAGGGTGTCTGGAAGAGCGCAGTACCATCTGGTCCTCTGACAGAACATACATCCTCTGGACTGAAATTCATGCAATACACCCACTGACTTTAGATCTGATAATCCAATAATATTACAGTATAAGATGTTTTGTTGTCTAGTTAAACACACACACACACACACACACACACACACACAAACTGTATATTCTATCCCATAACCCTACCCATCACAGAAAACTTTCTGCATTTTTACATTTTCAAAAAACAACTGTCCCACAAGGTGAACTATTTCTGGTTTTACTAGCCTTATCAGGTACACACAATATCAGGTACACACGCACACATACACACGTGCACGCACACACACACAGCTATCTAAATGGAGACATTCCATATACTTCTATTGTTTTTATATACAGTTACTATACCACTGTTTCTCAACCGGTGGGTCAAGACCCAAAAGTGGGTCACAAGAGTGTGTAGTCAAAGAAACATCAACAACATAAATGTTTCTCTGATGCAACACTTATTTTGAAAGACGTGTGTGAAAGCTGCCTACTCTTCTGTCAGACGCAGTTTGAGTAAACTGAGAAAAATGTGTTGTCCTGATTCAGTATTTGCTGTCAGATGAGGTGATGTTTTCAGACTATGGGCCCTATCATACACCCGGAGCAATGGAGCGCCAAGCGCGACGCAAGGGTTTTTTGCTAGGTTCAGCCCGACGCAGTCATCATTTTACACACACGGGGATGCGCAGCAGCACACAAACTAGCTAAATATTAAAAAATAAAAGGATTACAATGTAAAAGATTAATATTGTGTACATAAAGATATGGTGAATCCGGCTTGTCCCGTACATGGTCTGCTCTCGCGCTTTAACCTTATGGCGCTTTTAGACCATTTTTCCCGTCATTAAACTAGCAAAAGTGGATTCGGACACGCCCTAAGTGCACTTGCGCCGTGCACTTTAGACCATGCACTAGATCGTTAAAATAGGGCCCTATATGTCAGTGTCATTATTTTAACGCTATTTTCATAACTTGTCACAAAATCACAGAAAAAAAATCAGTTTTCTACCCTGTAACATACAACTGAAAATAAACATACAGAGATACAGGTCCTTGAAAGTGCTTAAATTTATTTTGTGCAAAACATTTTCTGGAAAAAATTCCATATTATTCCCTCCGGTCCGCTAATGTGTTATTTCGCCAACACTTCGTGGCCTATGCATACTAGCTTTCTTGATTTACGTTAGTTACGCACATTTACGCATTATGTTGTGTTTCCTGCGTGAGGTACTTTGTGTTGTACGTTGCCATGATGTTCACGCGCACACGAAACTACTACGATGGTATCCCAACGTTTGCTGTTGGACACATCAAATGTGTCCCCACATTAAGTCCTTGAATTTGAGGGTATTGGACCTGGAAAGTCCTTGAAAGGTGCTTGAATTTGAAGTTAACCATGTTGTGGGAACCCTGTGTCAGGGATTAAAATGTGCTTGCAGTGTACATCACCTCACAATATAATAGCAAATTAAATTACGAGCATGCAACTCTGTAGTTACATTGTCAATTAAAAAGTTATGAAATTACCAAAAAGTAGCCTAAACCCGCTCTTTATTTCACCATAACTGAATGTAATGTTCAATAAAGTTACTCATTTGATGTGTAACCATCTCCCCTTTTACGTAACTGGTAAATTCCGTGTTAGCTTGAAAGGTTTTGCATGCAGGTATGCTCATTCTACATTCAAGAGGATCAGTCTCTATTTGGTTTATTAACAGTTCATGTTCGTATTGTGTATTTACCATG